AAAGTAGAGGGTCAGCAAAAAAGAGGAAGACCCTCAATGAGATGGATTGAAACAGTGGCTGCAAAAGTGGGATCAAACACAGCAACGATTGTGAAGATGGCACAGGACTGGGCAGTGTTTTGTTCTGCTGTACTTAGGGTCACTATGAGTCAGAAAAGATTCGACAGCACCTAACAACAATATCAACTGATGAAATGTTCCTTTCTATACCTTGCATTTCTTCTGTTAAATTTATTTCTATATTGTTTTCTTTCTGTTGCTATTATAAATAGGGTCTTCTTTTCCCATTTATCTTTTAACAAAGTGTTATTTTTATATATAAGTATTACCCATTTCTACATATTAATTTTGTACCCAGCTACCTTCCTGAACTACCTTAATGCCAGTAATGCTTTTCAGTTGATTTTCTTAGATTACTAGTTATATAAAGATATCATTAACAAGTAGTAATTTATCCCTCCTTTGTATTTTTTTACTTCTATTTTCTTATATTTCTATCTCTAATTTTGTTGGCTAGTATCCCCAAATAGTTAAATAATGATAGCGGTTATCCTTGTCTTGCTGCTGACTTTACCAGGAATGTTACTAACGCCTCTTCTTTAAGCATGATGCTGATTTTCAGAGTTGAAATAAATGTATTTTAACAGTATAAGGAATTATCCACTTTTTTTTAACTAAGGAGGGTTCTTTTTTAAATAATCTAAAATAGGTACTGAATTTTAACAAATGTGTCTTCACTACCTATATTTTCTTTTTCTGTATAATTGTTGTCAGACATTAGTGCCAATATACTTGCTTCATAAAAATAACTTGTCCACTTTCTTCCTCTGTAACAATTTAAACAGTAATGGAAATACAGGTTCTTTAAAGGCTTAATGGTATTCTCCTGTCAATCTGGGCCTGAGGCTTTTGAGGGAATGCATCTGGGAGCTTCTTCTATTTTTTTTCTTGAGTCGGATGCTTAATTAATTTACTTTCATTCTTTCTTATATATTAGCATAATTCTATATTCTGTATAATTCTATTAATTTTTACTGAAAACTGTTTTGGCTATATCCCACAAATATATGGTATTTTCATTACTGTTATTTTCTAGATCTTCTGCAGTCACAATTTAAACTTCCTCTTTGACCCAAAAGTTGTTCGGAAGTTTTTAAATGTCCTGATGTTTTTTGTTTTGTTTCTTTTCAATTTCCAGTTTTACTGCATGTGGAATCAGAGAAAGTTGATTACATTACATCTACTTTTTGCAATTTATTGAGGTTTTTTTTTTGTGTGATCTAATATAGGGTCAATTGTTATGGATTTTCTATGAATACTTGTCACAAAGGGAGTTGGGGAGGGAAAGAATCACAATGGTGATGTAGAATGCTCTAGTGCAATGCAATGTCAGCTTGTGGGACAATTAGACCATCACTACCTAACACTGGATCTCTTTCTGCACTCAGATGTTTTCCAGTAAAGTTAGTGTCAGATCAAGTTGGCATGTTATGATGTGAACATTTGTGTTGGATAACTCTGGTATTGAACTGGAAGTACTATTTGTTAGTACTTATGAACAAATCCTCTAGAAAAAAGAACTCTCACATCATAGTCTGTTTTTACTAAACTTAAGTCTCTCCACTCATGGCCTAAAAATGGCAGTAGCTTTTTAGATTTGGACCCGTTAAAAGAAACTGATCGAGACCCTGTTCAGACCTGGGTGAGCGTACTGAATAAATGCAATGACACGTTCACAGTATGTGGCCAGCAGGTGTATTTACCCAAATTCAATCTCAATTTTGAAAATAACGCTATTATTTTGCATTATTTTCAAAACTAGATATTTTCCCCCATGTAATAATTATTTTCTACTTACTAAGTGGTTGTCAGTATGTATATTAAAGTTGCTAGATTTAATTCTGTTATTAAACTGAAATGCTTATTTTATGCTTCACTCAAGCATAGCATTGATTTTGTTTTTTTTAAATAACCTGTTCTTAATGTGAAATTACCTACATGGGATCCAATGACTGTTTGACTTAAAAATTTTATAATCTTCTGGGGTCTTAAAAGCCTGTGAGCAGCCATATAAGATACTCTACTGGTATCACCTCTTCGGGAGCAAGGGAGAATGAAGAAAACAAAATACAAGGAAAAGATTAGTCCAAAGGACTAATGGACCAGAACTACCACAGCATCCACCAGACTGAGTCCAGTACAACTAGATGGTACACAGCTACCACCACCGACTGCTCTGACTGGGATCACAACAGAGGGTCCCGGACAGAGCTGGAGAAAAATGTAGAACAAAATTCTAACTCACAAAAAAAAAGACCAGACTTCCTGGCCTGACAGAGACTGGAGAAATCTGGAGATTATGGCCCCCGGACACCCTTTTAGCTCAGTAATGAAGTCACTCCCGAGGTTCACTGTTCAGCCAAAGATTAGACGACCCCATAAAACAAAATGCGACTAACAGGGCACAACAGTCCAGGGACAAGGACTAGGGACAAGGACTAGAAGGCAGGAGGGGACAGGAAAGCTGGTAATAGGGAACTCAAGGTTGAGAAGAGACAGTGTTGACATGTTGTGGTTTGTTAACCACTGTCAAAACAGTATGTGTACTGTTTAATGAGAAACTATTTGTTCTGTAAAACTTCATCTAAAGTACAATAAAAAAAAAGAAAAATAAATATTTCATAATTTTAGAACATTAAGCCATTGAAATGTTCACTGCTCTGTGCAAAATGCCAATTCAAATTAAATTCCTACGTGAAAAAAATAAACTCAGTGCTCCTCATCAGTCTTTTTACTACAGTTTCTCCAGTCCTTGTTTGGTTGGCTTATTTCTCTAGTAATTTCTTCAAGGAAGGCTTGTTGTTGTTGTTAGTTGCCATCAAGTTGGCTTCAACTCATTGTGACGTTATGTATAAAAGGGCGAAACACTGCTCAGTTCTGGGCCATCTTCATGATTCTTGGTATGCTCCAGTCCATGTGGCAGCTATTGTATAGTATATCCAACCTAGAGGGCTCATCTTCCAGCACTATACTGGACAATATTCTGTGAAGAAAGGCTTATGAGAACAATATTCCTTGTATCTTTACATGTTCAAAAACTTTTGTCTGTTTCCTTTAAGCATGAACAACAGCCACTTGGTTTGGTATAAAATTCTGGACCCACACTTTTTTTCCTTTAAGTCTTGCCCCATGGTCTTCTAGAGTTGAATATTAATGATAAGATGTCTGAAGCCAGGGTGATATGATTATCTTTACTTTTAAAAGTAACTTGATCTTTTTGGTTCAACCGCCCAAAGGATTTTCTCATCTTTGACTTCTACTAACTTCACTAGGATATGTCTTGGTATTAATTTTCCTATGTCACTTTTTCCTGAGAGGCAACATGTCCTCTATATCTGAAGATTCAGATATTTTTGTTTAGGAAAAATTTTTCTTGAATCATACCTTTAAGTATTTGTTTTGTGCCATGAACTCCAATTATGTGTATGTTGAATCTCCTTTAACAATCTTCCACTACTGTCATCCCTCCATCCCCATTTCCTGACCTCTATATGTCTCTTGCCTTGTTTCCAGCAGTATTTATTCTCTCTTATGCTGTACCCAATTTTGTCTTCATTGTATGTGGAGATTTTATCTTTTATTCCACTTCTTTCCTGAGCTCTGCAGCTTACATTTCATCTTCTGATGTCTCACTATTTTATAAAAACTTTTATTTTTGTGCTCTTATTTTATAAAAGCAATTGCTTCCTTTTTTATTTACGGTGAAATAATTAATCATAATTATTGATTGCTTCATGGCAACACTTTTTATCATGGGGGAATAATTAATCATAATTATTGATTGCTTCATGGCAACATTTTTTATCTTTAAAGGAAATATTCTTTATCTGTCTTTTGTGTTTTCTGTTCCTTCCTCCCTTTTTTCTTATGGTATTTTAGCATAGATCCCATGCTGGTTCCCTTTAGGCTACCCAGTTTCGAATTAGTTGAGGTTTTCCTGCACCAGCTATTTGTACAAAGTTTATATAAGGGAAGGACTGAGTATACATTCCAACTAACATGAACTTTCCTTATGACACAGGATTGTATACAAGTCCTTTTAGTCTTTATTTCTCCCCACCCAAAAGAGATATGCAGCTCTAGATTAAGTATCTCATCTCCTCCACCACTTGAACAGACTGCTTAATGCAAATATGGCTTGTTTCCTTGATGGTTCTTCATCCACTGCCTCCTAGGACCAAAACAGGTTCAGAGTAGCTCCTATCACAACGTGTGCATCCTATTCTTATAGACGAAACAAGAGATTTGTTTTGTGCCTCAAGCTGTGCTCCTCATCTTGGAGAAATGTACTCTGCTGGTTCTTTCTGAGATCCATACAGCCCCAGAGATAAATCCATCCATAAGGCCTCTGGCATCCCTGCTTGATCTCCAGTGCTTCTTGCAGCCATGCCACTTGTGCTGTTCATGGTTTCAGGTATCTTCAGATATTTCCTAGCTTTGTCAAAGATGAATTCTGCCTTTCTTTTTCCCACTATTCCTGTTGCTTAGGAGTAGTTTCAGAGACAAGAAGGGGTGAATGTCAAGTGTACTCTGTCACATTCAGTCTGGAAGTCCTCAGTAGGAACAACTTATTATTACAACCAGGACTAATGTCACTTTATGATTTTCAAAACCCCAGCATGTGTATCTTCTCCCCTGTATATGCTGTACACACACTAGTTGTTAGCAACTTAAGCCTAGAAAGGTTAAGTGGCTTACTCAAGGTCTCAGAGCTAGTTCAAACACAGGTCTCTTGACTCCTGGTCCAGTGTTCTTACTATACTGCATATCCATGCATGTACATGGCAACTAAACTCTGTCAACCCTCCCCCTAAGCATAATTATTACCAGAAGCTGAGCTCTAAGAATTATATCCAGAAAAGACTAGGAAACCACATAACTGACAAATATCAGAGGTTGGGGAGGAAAGAACACCAAGAAAATGGCTTAGTTTCCATTACCTTGTTTAGTGTCTGTCACTCCTTCCATGAGAACTAGTCCTGCTGGTCGCTGACAAGCGATGTTGCAGAAGCGGAAATGTAGCAGAAAGTCTCGGCTATATTTGCGTCTCTCTGTAAACCAGGAAAAGCCATAGGGTAAAAGAAAGAGACACCACATGCTGAGACCTCCTTAGTACCAAGAAGCTCCTGGCATAGGGACACAGAGGTAGGCTCTGAAGACAAGGAGATTTTCCAACAGTTATGATTTAAATTTGTACACTTCATTGAGTGGCCACTGGGAAGACAATGAGAAAAACGAGGGAGAGTGCTAAGCAGTCAAGGGAATTACATTTTCTCTTGTCAATGAAGAATCAGCTTTCTTCCAAAATGGGCCTTGGGCACAATCAACCAAGAATGTGGCACATGCTCACCTGATCTCTTGGGCTGACAGGAGGAGACATACTGACAGGAATCAGTGATGCCCAGGGAGATGGGCCACAGTGGGGCCTGCAGCTTCCTCTGGTAGAGCTGATGGGAGAAGTCTTCCTGTCCAGATACCTACAAGGAAAGAGCAGGGTGGGAATGAGGAAACCGAGATGGGAAAAAGAACTAACAGCCCATGCTTTGGGACATGCTAACAAATATACACTCTCACAATCACGCACTATATACATGATGTAAGCAAGCCTCGTAACTCTCAGGTGAAGGCTACAAAATAACGAGCTAATTGAAAAAACTATTTTTTCATTAGAAAACACTGAAATGTCCATGAGACAGGAGTGAGGGTTAAGAGAGTGAGGTATATGAGTCAAGGAGAATAAGAATGATGAATATGTGGTCCCTTAAATTTTACCTCAAAAAAATCTACACAATTCTCCACAAGGAAGAGCAACTTTCAGGGGCTTTAACTTGCAATGGGAAAGGATTTATCCTGATCTTTAGATCGTCTGGGTCAAGATCTAGCATCCTAAGCCTACTATGGGGACACCACAGGGTCAAACCAAATGGAAAATGCACCAAAGCACTTTACCGTATCTATGTCACCATCCTCGGTCAAAGCCAATGAGCAGCCTGGGAACGGGCAGAACGTAGTGGGGGAAACATTCGGCAACATCAGTCATCTGTGTATCTCCAACGTGTGTAGCAAAATTCCTTTATTTCACTTAACAACAACAAGTATTTGAATGCCAACTATGTGCAAAACACTAGCTAAGTGCTTGGGATACAGCAGTGATAGACACAACCCCTGTCCTCAAAGGATATTTATTTTCAATATGTCATCTGAAGTAAAACAGACCTGGAATTTGATGGCCATTTACTAGCTGTGATTCTGATCAAGCTGTCTTGGGTTTAATAATTTCCACTATAAACAGAGATAATACCCATAATGTACAACTGGAAATCTTAATAATAACCACTGTCAATAATTGATTGCTTACTTTGAACCAGGAACTGGAAAATACTTTATGTACATTATTTTATTTAACCCAGGGGAAAAAAAAAATACCCTCTGGGGCATGTCTCAGTATACGCCCAATGTACAGATGAGGCAAATGGAGCTTAAAGGAGTGAAGTAATTTACCCAAGGAGGCAGAGCAGGGATTTGAACTCAGGACTGTCTGGCTTCAAAGCAAGTTCTCTTAATCAATGGCTGTCACACAGGCATTTAGTAAATTCTGTCTCCTATTCCCTGAGCTCCTTGATTAAAGATCCTTTAGAGTAGAATAATGCCTTTCTCTCAGCACATGGCAACTAGAGTATCGCTGGCACTTAAGTAACCGTCATTAAAGTAAAAGCCCAAAGTGCTCAACAATAATTCAATCATTTTGTGTCCTTTCTCCACTTATGCCTTGCCAAAAGCTAAACAATAAATTGGGTCAGTAGGGACAAAACAGAGGAACAAGGAGACTAAGTGACATATTAAAAAATCAGCACAAGCTGAATGCCCATCAGCAGAGGCAAATAAATGATGATAAAACTCTGAGATAGCTATACTATTAACATTTAGCAGTTAAAAGGAATGAGACAGATCCACATACACACTGTTGAGTGAAAAAAAACCAAGCTACAAAATGAAACCTAAGTAGCATATCATGTTTATAAAACACACACACAATTGACTGCATACTGGCTGTTAGAAGCAACAACAGCATAGTGTTTGAGGGTGTTATGGATTGAATGGTGTCCCCCTAAAATATGTGCTGTAAATCCTAACCACTATACCTGTGGATATAATCCCATTTGGGAATGGATTCTCTGTTATGTTAATGAGGCCATATAAGGTGTAGGGTGTGTTTTAAGCCAATCGCCTTTGAGATATAAAAGAGCAGATCAGGCCAGCAAGCAGAGATGGGGGAAGATAAATGCCACACCACATGAAGATCACCAAAGAATAGAAGCTGAAAAGAGACAAGGGCCTTCCCCTAGAACCAGGGAGAGAAAACCTTCCCCTAGAGCTGGTGCCCTGAATTTGAACTTCTAGCCTCCTAAACAGTGAGAAAATAAATTTCTCTTCTCTAAAGCCAACCATTTGTGGTATTTCTGTTATAATAGCACTAAATAACTAGGACAGAGGGCAAGGGGCCAGACTAACTGCCTGGTTACAAATCCTGGCTCCACAACTGGCATAACCTACAACAAATTATTTAACTTCTCTATGCCTTGGTTTCCTCATATATAAAATGGAAGCAATGATGGAAACTGTGAAAATTAAATCAGTAAATACATGTAAAGTGCTTAGAATGGTAACTGGTACACAGTAAGAACTTAAGAGATGTTAATTACGGTTATATTACTGTAAATGCACAGAAAATCTGAAAGACCACCACCAAACTTAGAAGTCATTACTTGACTCTAAGGGAAGAGAGTAGGAAATGTACATAATAAAGGGGGCTTTTGCCTTTTTAAAATAATGTTTGAATTCTTGCAAGAATGTACTTTTATACTATTTGTGCTATAAATTAATGGTAAAAACTAAAAGGATTTCAGTTATGTTAAAGGCACTCAAGAGCTCCTAACTTCCAGGCTTGGGCACAAGCCATTCAACAGAACAAGCAGCAGCGGGAGGGAGCTAGAACAGGTACAGTGAGGTCCCAGCCCCTGAAGCAGCACTGGATGCCAACACTCGAAACTCTCCCTAGGCCACGTTCCCACCCCAACAATGGCCTCTCCCATTTCACCTTCCAGGCCGGCATCCCATGGTACTGGAGCTCTCCATCCCTGATGAAGTTGTAGAGAGGTGAGTTAGGGACAGAATTCAGGTCCCCACACAAGATGATCGGGCAGTGGCTGCCATCTGACAACCTGGCCACCTTGTCCACTTCGGCCAGGAGAACAGCCATCTGGGCCAACTTGACGTCACCCCGGCGTGGGTTGTACAGGACGTGGGTATTTGCCACACACAGGGGGGCCACCGAGACTTGCCCCAGGCCTTCTGGGACTAGCGGCTGCAGCAGCAGCACTAAGCCCACATTGTCCCGATTGAGGAGCTCCAAGCCAGGCCGGAAGTACTCTACAGGGCTGGCACAGAGCAGACGGAATTTGGTGGGCTTGTAGCAGACAGCACAGCCATCCGTTTTACACCCAGTCCTCCTCTTGTAGAAACAGGTAAAGCCTGAAAGGAAAACCCCAGCCAAGGAGTGAGGTCAGAGTCCTTGAAGCCTGAATCCCCTTCAATCAGTGGTGCCTAAGGCACTGCTCCTGCTGCTAAGTAAGGGGAGTCCTTGCCCTGGCCATTTCCTTGGTTCTGCAGAGGTTCTCTTACAGTTGCAACCAGATGGCTGAGTGGCTATAAGGGAAGGAGGGAGGAAAGGGCACAAAATAATGCAACTTGATAGGAAGGGCATGGACTCTGGAGTCAGAAAGAATACAGTTCTGGACCTACTGGCATTGTGACCTTGAGCAAGTCACACAAATTCTCAGAGGCTGTTTCCTTATTTGTAAAATGGAGATAATAATACTCAGCCTCACAGGGTTGGTTACTGCAAGGCTTAAATGGCAATACATGTTGGAGTCGCTTTAAAAATTGCAGAACTCCTTCTTTCTCACCCACATGAGGAAGGAGCTGGCTCACAGGTGAGACTGAGTTTACTGAGACAAAAGAAAAAGATGGTGTCTTCAGGAGAAGAGTAGACAGGGCTGTAGGAAGAAAGGCTGGCAAACACGCCAGGAGCTGCATTACCCATCATTCGCAGAGAGGGCTCCAGCTGCTCCCAGTAATGATCTTCCTGGACTTCCTGGAGACACAGGATCTGCGAAAAAGAGAAACCAATCACTCCAGAGTATCCAGAGTACCCAGAACACTGGAGTGAGACTCCCACCCCCTCCAGGAGCAGGCACTGAGGCCAGGTGGTAACCTGCTGCGGGTTTCAGGTAGAGCCACACTGAAACCCCCCACTGGGCTAACTCTTCTCAGAGAGTCACTAACAGCAAGAACTGGCCCGTACTTGAGCTGAGGAGACCAGAAACGTGTGCTGGATTTTCCTGCTTCTCGAATCCTGCAAGTCTCACTCCCTGCATAAAGGCACTGGAAGGTAAGCACCCAGGGAGATGCTGCTTAGCATCTGCCAAAACCTCACTTATTCAAGGCAGGCAAGCTCCACCCTTAAGCAGGATTCTAATCATTTGAAGACTATGGGGTTGTGCTCATTTTCTAAGAGCACTGGGAAACAGCCCAGGTACAGAGACAATGCAAGATGGCACTTCCCCTTCACTCACATCAGGGTCCCAGTGCTGGAATTCCTGCATGAGGTTCGCAAAACGATAGTTCCAATTGAGGATGTCTGGGTGGCAATGCAGATAGAGCTCTGAACTCTGCTGCATCAGGTCCTGGGCCAGAATGTTGTAGGACATCAGAGTAAACTGGAACTGAGGGCCATCCCCTGCCTCCAGGCCCTGAGCATCTGGCTGGGTGGAGAAATCCTCCCATTCTCGCCACAAAATTTCTGCAAAGGGGTTGAGGGAAGAGTTCCATGACAAGTACATGTTATCCAGAGGCCCCTGCCATCTCTACTCCTGCTCCAGTGATTTTGTGCCCAAAGATCCCTTTTTTATCTTCCCTGTCACCCTTCCCTCTGTGGTGATTTGAGCATCACTCTAAGGACATTCTCCAGACTAAAGAGTAAGCTCTGTAAAGCCAGGGACAATCTCAGCCAGCTCACCACTATATCCCCAGCACCTAGCACAGTACCTGGCACCTAGTCAATGCTCAATAACTATTTATAGGCTGACAATCTCTCACTTTTGATAAATCCATGAGTCTCTGGGGAGTCACTCAGATGGGCATGATTAACAGTCACCTGAGGTTAAAAACATTTTTAAAGTAACTTTAGCATTGGGTGTTTTCTGACCTCTAAACCTGGAAAGACCTATAGGGCTAGAGACCACAACGTATCCCAGGCTCCCCATCGCCCCTATAGCATGGGGCACCATAATGGATTTCAAGTCTACTTGAGCCACAGAATTTTTCTTCAAATTTTTTTTTCATTATTCTCTAAATAGAGAATACTTTATTAGTTTCTGTAATAAAACCCATGTAGATAAGACCTTACATATTTAATACAGTGTGTTACCCCTGTACAAATGGAAAAAAATTAAGTTTAACATTTCTAGACCAATATGGCTGTTAATTTCTATACAATGCCAACTCAACACAGTACAACTGGGATACTTTTTCCAAAATTGACAGCAGAGCTAAAGTCTCCAAAAATTCAAATTACATATATATATGTGTGCGTGTGTGTGTATATATATATGTACATATATATATAAAGACCAATCACAGTGTGTTATGCATCAATAGCAGCAACAGCTTTTCCGGGTTCTGCAGTCATCTGAACAAAATTATAGAGACATCCAGTACACTCCAGAAAACAGCAAAGTTCTGTTACTGCTGTGGTACCTGGCACCATTTTTTATTAGCTTCTCAATCATCATCTGGAAAGAAAACATTCTAGAATAATGTCATTAAAAAGCAGCTCTGATAAAGCACGGTTCTTATTACGTATCATAAAGCAGGTACAAGATAGCTTACATTCAGAGGTTGTTCTTCAAATTTTATCTTATGTGGAAGCCCAATATGTAACACAGATAAAACTGGAGTTCCTCTGGTTGCGGCAGACAGTGGAGGCCCAGAGAGCTTCCATCTTGAATCTCCCCACCCCTACCCCAGGAAGCCCTTGGGCTCCCTCCAAAAAAACAGCAGCATGGAAAATCAGAACTGTGGCCTAGTTTTAGCTCTGCCACTACCTAGCTGTATGACTTTAAACATGTCCCCCTATCTTCCTGTACCACGGTTATTTCATTTCTAAGACCATAAGGCTGGATGAGATGACCTCCAAGGCCCCTCTGTATCTGACACTGCAAAAGTCTCAAAGACTCTCAAGAAAAAGAGTGCAGGGTAGGGCTCCCCACCAGAAAGTGCCCTCTTCAGCAATGATTCTGCCCATACACAAGACAACCTGCTGCCCTGGCTCACTGAGCTGATTGCCAGACTCACCGTGATACGGTATTTCCATTGGGGGAGGCTGTAACTGCCCCAGGCCCTCAAAGGGCCAGATGGGAGTCTCTTCCTGGGGAATAGGCTCAGGTGCTATACTCCAGGCCACCACTGCGGGGTCCTCTTCCCACTGTTCTGTGACCAGGGCATTCATTGGGAGGACAGCACAGTCTGCATACTGGGGGCCCATCTGCATGGGGACAGCTGCCCACATAGGGCCCTCGACCTCTGGCAGTGTCTCCTCTTCTAGCACCTCTGGGAAAGACTCGTCCAGGTTCTCTGCTGCCCGCAGGTCACTCAGCTGCCTGCTGCACCACTTGTCCTCTGAAACAGCATCCTGCTGTCCGGGATTATCCATTAGGAGTGCCAGGCTGCTCTGGGCCAGTGCCTTATCTGCAAGGGGACCTTCGCTCACAGTTGAGAGTACCTGGCTTGAACCTTCTTCTCGCCACTGCTGCAGCAGGCCCTCACACTCCTCCTGGTCGGGGCCCCGAGGGGCCATGGCAAAGTTACCCTCTACCTGGGGGGACAAGCTCTTCGCCAGGAGGGCATTTTTTCGACATGTAAAGAAAGCATCTAAAAGGAAAGCCAAAAAACAAGGTTATAAGATGACAGTATCACCCAACCCACACTCTTCTTCTGGCTAGACCATAAGCCCCATATGAGCAAGAACCACACTCAACTTGCTATATCATCACCGAGCCTGCCCACCTTAGTGCCTGGAACATCATCACCAAAGTGTCTACCATGAGCCAGGCACTGTTCTAAGTGCTTTACAAGTATTAACTAATTTATATGGTAGAGACCTGATAAATATTCAGTGAATGAATGAAAGAATAGCTCTCCTACATAACCTAGGACAGAGATGGACTCATATACCCACACCCCTTTTATATGGAGGTTAAGACTCCTATTAACATCAACTTTCTGGCTCTAAAACCAAGTTACTTGACCAGCACTTGACCATCAATCAGAACTGTGGGTTACGATCTAGCGTGGAAATTAACAAAACTGCATGACCTTGGACAATGCACTTAGTCAGATGAACTCACTCTTGACTGTAAAATGGGGACAGGAGGAATCTGGACTGGATAATCTCCAAGAGTTTTTCTAACGCTGTAACATCCCCTAATCTATGAAAGCATTTTGAAAAAAAAGTCCTAAACAAAAAGGGTGTTACAAAATCTATACAGTTTACATCTCAGCAAAGGCTCTTATGCCTCTTAAAGCTATTTATTATACTCAAAAAATCTTCACAAACTTCATTATCAACTTTCTCATTCCACAATACATCAGAGGCTATAAATTAGAAGGTGCCAACAACTGACAGCAAGAAGAGACAGCTGTCATCTCTGTTACAGTGGCCACAAATGACAGCCCACAGGCAAGAGAGTAGGCAGGAAAAATTCTAAAATTAGAGCCCCAAAACTCCAAGCACAGTATTTTGGTGCAAGCAACTAACCCACACATACTAAATCACTTATTTGCAGCACAGTACAGGTGATATGCACAATGCTGACTCTTCATCAGTAAAGAGGTTCATTTTATCAGCATATTTTTTTTTAGAAAGCAAGAAAAATTTCAAAGTGGTTCAGATGTCACTATTGTTTATGGTCTATGCGGATTTATGTCCCTCTGATTTATGTCCAGTGGTTTTCAACCAGGGGCAATTTTGCTCCCAGGGGACATTTGGCAATACCTGGAGCCACTGTGTTGTGGTTGTCACAACTGTGAGGGTGCTACTGGCATCTAGCGGTTAAAGGCTAGGGATGCCGTTACACATCCTACAATGTACAGGACAACTCTCACAACAAATCATTTGGCCTAAAATATCAATAGTGCTGAGATGGAGAAACCCTGCTTTAAACCCATGGGCTGGGTTGCTAGGCTTTAGTGCCAGGGATTTGATAATTCTCTGCCCCTTGAAACATCATCTATGCATGCCAGATGGCAGAGGTTCTTTGGTTTATAAGCACGAGGTTACAGGCTTTCAAATTTAGCAGGTTTTGGTTTGTTGTTGCCGGTTGTTTTTCAGCAGCAAAATCTTTTTATTAAAAAAAAAAAAAAAAAAAAAAACTTATGTAGAAGCCAAATATATCAAGTTAACACAAGCAGAACTACTCCAGTGGGGTGCAAGGGGGCAGGTGGTCCCTCCTCTGAGATTCTTAGAATCAGAAATTTGCATTTCTAACAAGTTCCCAAGTGATGCTAATGCTCCTGGTTAGGGACCAATTCTGAGAACCACTAGTAGAGCATTGGTTCTCAAAATTTACTATACTAACAATCACCTGGGGATCTTGTTAAACTACAGATTCTGATCCAGTATATCCGAGTGGAAATGCAAACTTTCATCAGGGGCTCCAACCAGAACAAACAGGTTTGAAGCCCTGCCTAGAACTCTCTGGAAACTTCTGAACTAGTATATTTCACTAAGGCTGCCATCATGGACATAGGAAGAACCCACTGATGTCGAGTCCATTCCAACCCCTAAGGACCCATAGGACAGAGTAGAACCGCCCCATAGGGTTTCCAAGGAGCAGATGGTGGATTCCAACTGCTGATCTTTTGGTTAGCAGCCTGAACTCTTCACCACTGTGCCACCAGGGCTATGGACATAGAAGAGCTCCAGAAATTATGGTAACATGATTAAAGGAACATGCTTTAGTTATCTGAAACCAGTCACTTCCACGGAGTTTCTCACTCCTCCGACGTACGGATACACAAAACATCTCTGAATTCACTGGGTGCCTACTGTATACCAGGCAGTGTGCTAGCACTAGAAATACAACGAACAAAACAGACATGGTCCTGCCCTCCGGGAGCCTGCACTAGTGACAGACAGTAAAAAGTAAATAAATAAAAAATATATTTCCTGTGAAATATGTATCTTATATACACACAAACTTCGGTGAAATTCCAGAAAAGAAAAGCACAGAATGCACAGTTGCAATGCCTATTTTCTAAGAAAGTACTTCTTGGTCCCAACTCCCTAAATTGCCAGAGAAAATCTGGGAGTTTTGTGGCATCTCAGAGACGAACGGGTAGTCATAAAAGCCTCTGGAATTTCAAAAACCAGGGATGGGGAGCGCGGGCAGATCACGAAAATGTTAAGGAATAACCTTTCCCCCTCAACTACCACTCCACCCTATCTCTTGTTAAACGCATGGGAGACTGCTTCAAAGTTGAGGTTCAAATGTGTCTGAATTCTGAGCACACTAGCCCTTTGTCAAGCAAAAACTCCGCTGAGCGCGGCGAGCTGAGAGGTGGCTGGGACAGTGTGGGATTAACCCAGGGAAGGCACGTCTCTCCAGGGCGGACCCGCCTCTACCCACAGAGAATTCGGGCATTCGCCTCAGCCCCGCATAACCAAACCTCTGCGACCCCCTAGGACAGTGGCTCCGCCCAGAACCTCTCTGCACTCCGAGGGCAGGGAAGGGGCGGCCCCTGCCCCCTTCCCCAGGCCCTCTCAAGTTAACTGTGGCTCGACTCCACCATGCCACCAGAGTCGTCGCCAAGCCCGGCCCTCATGGAGTTAGGCCCAGTACCGCGGGGCCCGGGGTGAGGGCCGCCTCCCACACCTTGGCACTGTCCGGGGGACGGTGGTCGTGAGCCCCAGAGCGCGGCCCCGCGGGGCCCAACCGAGACAGGCCCGGACCAGACTCCCGCCTCTCGGACGTCGGGCGGGTACCTGAGAGGGCGCGGAAGAGGCGCGCGGCCGGCAGCAGCAGGTAACACAAGCAAGACGCGATCATGGCCGGCCGCCGCCTGCCCTCCTCACCACTGCCAGCCGGTCTCCCTCAGCTCGGCCCCGCCTAGGCCCCGCCCAGGCTCCGCCCCTAGACAGGCCCACGTGTGCAGCCACGGCTCCCGCCGACCGCGTTTCAACAACAACTTTATTGGTAACGCAGAACCACCGCGGGGCCGGGGAGCCGGTTCCCATGGCAACGGGCCTGTCCTGCCTCGGGGCTGCAGTTTAAGGGCCCTAGTTTAAAAATGCCGTGGTAGGGACTTAATAGTATTATTCAAAGGCCACGGTTTTATTACCGCTTCTGCCACTAACTAGGTGTCCATCCTGAGTCCACCATATAACCTTCCCGCTCCTCATTTTTCTTATATGGAAAACGAGAGGCAGGGCTTCCACTAAGGCTCATCTAGCCCTGACTCTGTTATCTACCCCTTCCCAACCCAGAGAGGAGAAAGAGCGCGAATTCTTCCCTATTCTTCCCTTTTCCCTGACTCGACTGTCTTCTCCAACTCAAAATCCTAGGTCGCAAACTGAATCCACACCTTGCCCCAGTGCGTTAGATTTTGTCTCTTTCACCATTCTGTTCCAAATGGGCCTTCCCCTTTCCTAATCTGGGGAAAAAATAAAAACAACGGGGTGTTTCATTGGTAAGAGTGACAAGGGAAAAAAAAATTCCACAAGGGTAGGTATCAAGTCTGGTTTGTTGTTTTTTCACTGAGGTATCTCTCTAGTGCCTAAAACAGTGCCAGACACATAGTAGGGCCCAAATAAACCTTTGTTAACTAATTAAACAAAGCATATATCACTGAATGAAGGCCAGTTCCTCCAAGAACCCTGTGCTACTCAAAGGTCTCTTTGAGTCTCACTTCTTCAACCCCCTACCCTCAATCTTGTGCCCCAGCCATCCTCTGAAGAAAAAAGCACCGTATAATACTTCCTTATGTCAGTACCCAGTGTCTGAGCTGTGCAATTTCCAATTTGTGGCTGGAGCCTCGGTTGTTCAGGGAAGCCTTCTGGGGAATCACCAGATCCAGGACCAGCTGGGTACATCATAACACTGAAAGGCTAAAAGGTGAAAGAGGAGTCAGTATTGTGGCCTTCCCACTTTTTATCCTTAGCTCTACAGGCAGTATCTACTTGCAGGCAACAACACCCATCCCTTTTCCTGAAATGAGAAGCAAAGGCCCCAGAAGCAATCTGAAGGCTGGGAAACCCCTTAGAAACTAGTCCACAAACATTACCTCTACTTAAGGAGTCCCCAAGGAGCCCTGGTGGCACAATGGTTAAAAGCTAGGCTAACTGAAAGGTTGGCGGTTTGAACCCACCAGCCAGCTCTGTAGGAGAAAAGACCTAGCAATCGCCTCCTGTAAAGATTTCCTAATCCTAGGAAATCCTCTGAGACAGTTATACTCTGCCCTATAGGGTTATTCTGAGTGGGAATCGACTGACAGCACACAACGGGTTAAGTAAACCCTCCTTGTTTCCTCCTTCCATTTTGCCCCAATAGTTACCCAGAAGTCTAAGTTCCAATACTGATCCTAAAACAAGGTACTTATCTAGAGACTATGTTTATTATTTTGTGAAGTAATGGTTCCTTATCCACTTAGGAAATGTTTTAAAAATTGGTCTACATTCAACCATTTCAGAAAGTAGCATATGATCAAGAACCGATGGTACCGAAGGAAGAAGTCCAAGCTGCACTGAGGGCATTGGCAAAAAGCAAGGCTCCAGGAATTGATGGAATACCAATTGAGATGTTACAACAAACAGATGTAGTACTGGAGGTGCTCACTTATCTATGCAAAGAAATCTGGAAGACAGTTACCTGGCCAACCAACTGGAAGAGATCCGTATTTGTGGCCATTCCAAAGAAAAGTGATCCAAAAGAATGCAGAAATTATCAAACAATGTCATTAATATCACATGCAAGTAAAATTTTGCTGAAGATAATTCAAAAGTGGTTACAGCAGTGCATTGACAGGAAATCGCTAGAAATTCAAACCAGATACAGAAGAAGACATGGAACAAGGGATATCATTGCTGATGTCAGATGGATCTTAGCTGAGAGCAGAGAATACCAGAAAGAAGTTTACCTGTGTCTTATTTACTATGCAAAGGCATTCAACTGTGTGAATCATAGCAAATTATGGATAACATTGTGAAGAATGAGAATTACAGAACACTTAATTGTGCTCATGAGGAACCTGTACATAGACCACAGACCAAGAGGCAGTCATTTAAACTCAACGAGGGGATATCGAGTGGTTTAAAAGCAGGAAAGGTGTGTATCAGGGTTGTATCCTTTCACCATACTTGTTCAATCTGTATGCTGAGCACATAATCCGAGAAGGTGGACTATATGAAGAACTCGGCATCAGGGTTGGAGGAACACCCATTAACATCTGCAATATACAGATGACACATCCTTGCTTGCTGAAAGTGAAGAGGACTTGAAGCACTTACTGATGAAGATCAAAGACTACAGTCTTCAGTATGGATTATGCCTCAACATAAAGGAAACAAAAATCCTTGCAACTGGACCAATAAGCAACATCATGATAAACGGAGAAGAGATTGAAGTTGTCAAGGATTTCGTTTTACTTAGGTCCACAATCAATGCCCCTGGAAGCAGCAGTCAAGAAATCAGAAGACACATTGCATTGGGCAAATCTGCTGCAAAAGACATCTTTAAAATGTTGAAAAGCAAAGATGTCACCTTGAAGACTAAGGTGCACCTGACCCAAGCCATGATGTTTTCAATCGCCTCATATGCATGTGAAAACTGGATGATGAATAAGGAAGACCGAAGAAGAACTGACGCCTTTGAATTGTGGTGTTCGCAAAGAATACTGAATACACCATGGACTGCCAAAAGAGTGAACAAACCTGTCTTGGAAGAAGTACAGCCAGACTGCTCCTTAGAAGCAGGGATGGCAAGACTACGTCTCACATACTTTGGGCATGTTATCAGGAGGAATTAGTCCCTGGAGAAGGACATCATGCTTGGTAAACTAGAGGGTCAGCAAAAAAGAGGAAGACCCTCAACAAGATGGATTGACACAGTAGCTGCAACAATGGGCTCAAACATAACAACAACTGTGAGGATGGTGCAGGACCGGGCAATGTTACGTTCTGTTGTACATAGGGTCGCTATGAGTCAGAAGTGACTCGATGGCATCTAAGAGCAACAACAAATATATGGGGTGGCATAATGCTTCCTTCAGGTTTGCAGAGACTACTGACCAAGTCCTAGAGCAGTACTGCTCAAAAGAAATATAATGTGAACCACATATGTAATTTTCAATTTTCTAATAGACTGGTAAAAAAGGTTAAAAAAACTAAACACAGGTTAAATGAATTTTAATAATATATTTTATTTAACTCATATATTTAAAATTTTAACATTCAATATGTAATCAATATTTGTTTCACTGAGTCTTCAAAATTTAGTATGTGTTTTACATGAATAGTACATCTCAATTAGGACTAGCCACATTTCAAGTACTCAGTAGCCACAAGGAGCTATTGTGTTTGTTAAGTGCCACGGAGTCAATTTCAACTTATAGCAACACCATGTGACCGAGTAGAGCTGCCCCATAGGTTTTGTAGGCTGTAATCTTTACAGGACTTTCTCCCATGGAGCCACTGGGTGAGTCTGAACCGCCAACCTTTTGATTAGCAGCCAGGTGCTTAACCATTGCACCACCAGGGCTCCTCACACAGAACTAGTGGCTACCATACTGGACCTTGCAAGTCTAGAGGACACAAACAGCCTCTCAGATAGGATAGGCTGAAAAGAATTGCAATCCCATATCTTCAACTTCTATGATAACCCAAGGTTCCTACACTCCTAGTAACTTAGCTTCTCTGAGCCTAATGTTTCCTCCAGGACCTCCAGATTTATGTCTAATGTTGATAGAGTGTTTCAGAATGTGCCAGATTGGTCTGAGTTGATGCATTCATTCCCTTACTTATTCACTGATTTATTCATTCATAAATTAATTAGAAATTTATTGAACATACATCAACGTCTACCCCAACCTCATCCTTATCCTCTGGACTGTCTGGTCACTCCCCTTATTCCTGAAGACATTGACTCGGGACTCACAGTCTTCTTCCCTACCTCAAGTCTTACTGTCATCAATGTGGATGAGCCATCCCACATCCTCAAAGTTCATTGTCTTCACCTCTTCAATGGCCTTTATTCCCTCCCTACTTCAGACACCCCCTGCCCTGGCCATACCTTTACATGTCATACTGGCTACTGTTCTACCTCTGAAATCAGAAATTCACATGTCCTACTCTGATCACCTTATGGTTCTCCCACTTTTACTTCCCCTTCAACTGTTCTTTAACCTCACCAAACCCAAGAGCCTCTTTGATTTTTTTTTCCTGTCTCTTCCTCTCTGTCATCATTTCCTTCTCTATCAAGCATATGATTCCCATGACCCATCTTTTAAATCACTCTCTTCCCAATATCATCAATTCTCCTGCCTCCTTGTTCTTTGATTATACCTGCCCAAGCCAAAAAAAAAAAAACAAAAACAAACAAACAAACCATTTTCCTTCTTGGCTTTTACATCTGGGCTACTGAGCACCAATAAATAAAATTACCAATTACATGGATTAGTGTCATTAGTGTCCTGGTCTCCGATCTTGCTTCAGCCCTCAATCCTCCCTAAGCAGCCCTGTGTTCCATAATTAGCTTTCTCTCCCATTCCTACAGGGACCATCCTTCTCAAACTTCCTGATCTATTGCCTCCCTTCTTGCTCTCAGGAGATGATTTCCCACCAACTTCACCAAAAAAATAGAACCACCAAGTGAGAACTCCCTACTTCCTGTTGCCACACCAACACATTGACCAGCATCCATAACCACCCTTTCCTTCATCCCTCCCAACACAGTGGCTGATCCCTCCACCATGCGCAGGGTAGCAAAGATGGAGGGAGGGCCAGGCCATGCGGCAGGGCCCTAGCCCTTAATTGGTGAGGGTTCCAGGACTGAAC